AAATCATCTCCTCTTTGACCTTTTAAGAAACTAGTCAATGTTGTTTGTTTCCCCTAGCACTTTTCCTCATGTTTCCATGGCCAGATTTGTCATTTGTTTCTGTGTTAACCAAGATGCCTAAGAGATTAGAACCACATTGACTGGAGAACATCCATGCAATTTCTCTCACCTTCCACCCTGTGTTGCCTAAACACAGGCTCCCCAGAGAAAGTTGTGTATACTAACACAGTCCAGTCTGTCAGGAAGATGGGGAGGAACAAAGGATGCTAAATTGGCACAAACAACAATGTTACATGGCATGGATTCCCTAAGCATTAAAGTATTAAATTTTCATTTATGATAAGACTAAAAGCTCTGGTCCCAAGACAAAATCCAAGAGGATTTGTACCTAACTACATTTTCCTTCACACCTTCATTACCCATGACCTTCTCCTCCTTCACTCCCCCTGAATAACAGATCCCTTAATCCTTCTGTGACATTCTGCTTTTAAACTAACTGGTGGTGAGCCTTGTGTGCAGGTATGCATTTGTGCAATTTTGAACTTATAACCCCCAAAGATGCAAAGTGTAAACCATTTTTTCCTAATAAATAAATGTAAAGTAAATTAATCCTAGTTGCTCAGGACCAACCCTTCTCCCGCCCTCCCAGCCAGGCCTTACCCACACCTGAAAACCATACTTTTAAAGTTATCTAACTCCCACCTAATTTTTAGAGGTTAGTGTTTAGCAGTCTAATCACTCGTTTTACTTTCTTCTTTTTAAGTGGTTTTCAGAAACCCATGACATACTATGTAACCAAAAATCTATGCACTTGTGCAAGATCTTATGGGGGAAAAATTGACTCATTTCAGAAATAAATCTCACTTCTGAGATGGAGTATGTTAAAGAGAAGAAATTGGAGGGAAGAGAAATTTCCTAAAGCCTCTTCAACTTTATCATCTCTTCCAGTATCTTTCCCTTTCCTGTGTGATCTGCATAGTCTTGTTATTCTTCTACCAAGAGTAGAAGAGGTATTTATGACACTTACGGCCACTGGAAAGTTTTGGAGAAAGAGAAAAATAAAATGGGTTGTTGGAAGCAAAAAAATCTCATGGCCATAAAGCAATGGCTAAAGCTGTTGGATGGTTTAGCTCCCCCTGCAGGATGCCACATGACATAGCAGCACATACTTGGACCGGACCATTTTGGCCCTTCAGTTTCTGAACTATCATATGAGAACATACAATTTTTGTCACAATTGCCAGTTTTCTATGCCAGAAACTTTTCCCTGGACTTCCTTAAGCTTTCCAGATAGACTCAGATATCTGGGTGTAAATGTGTGTTTTTCAAAATTAAATAAATGGACTCCAACATTTCCAAATGGCAAGTTGAACTGAAAAACTCCCATTGTCTCCTAATTCTAAGATACCCTGGTCCTTCCAGCCATATTCCAAGCTGTTCACATAGGCTCTGGCCTTATATGACCTATGAAAACTTTAGCACCTCTATCACTAGAAGGGAAAAATAACTGCTGAATCTGGGATTCAAGTAGAAGACGTGTGTCATTCTGGAAACCTTCAGATAGCATAGTACTGGTGATTCCCAATTAGTTATTCTAAGAAAAATTTCTTCAAGGTGCGTGTGTGTGCAAGTGTCTATGCACACGTGTGTGTACACACACGTGTGTGTGTGTGTGTGTGCCCACACATAACTTCCCACATAAGAGTTTCTCAGAAAAACAGCAAGAACAGGAGTGAGAATGAGAGAAGAAATTGCACTCTGTTTTATGTAGTGTTATATTGCACTTAGAGAAAATACAGACACAATGCTGAATTTCCTACTCCAGAAATCTTTTCACAAATTGTTCATTATTGGGCCACTGACAGAAGTACCCTGTAGTGCCATCTCGCTCTCACTACCAGAGACTGACATCCCCCCTGCCCCCAGGCTGGCTGAGAGTTTTAGGGTTAGCCACTATCCAGTGAAGCTCAGCTCCACTGTCGCTGTGTGACATTGAAAGCAAGTAAAATCCCCACAGGAGGTTTATGTTTAATAATAACATTTAAATTATATTGTCTACCTCTCATACCAGTTTTCCACTAAAAATAGCAAGAGTTAGATCTTCCTTGCTGAACGCAGGTTGAATGTTGCCCTGGATTATTTTTGTTAACTAAACTTCTAGAGAGTTTACCTTGACTACTTTTTTTTTTTTTTTTGAACGATCAGCAGTGTCACAGACTATAGGTCTAAAGCCAACAGGTCACAGTCTTCACACCCTGGTTTTACTAATTCCCACGGCATTTACAAAAACTTCTAACAAAGGCAAATGGTGAAGTCACATTTTAATTCACTTACATTTACAGCAGGTTTATTCATTTTGTATTTGAGAGGAGGACTGAGATGGGGGGGATTAACAACCTGGCTGTAAACATGATGTAAAAGAAAGTCTAAAAACCAACTTTTATGTTACTTTAGGTAATAAATTTTTTTTAAGATTTATTTATTTATACATACAGAGCTGGGGTACAGGCCAGAGGTGCAGGGGTGGTGAGAGGCTTCACTAGAGACAGAGTGGGGAGCAGAACTGACAGATTGACGAAGTACAATGCTGAGGGGAGCAGAGGGCGAGACAGGAGAGGTCTGCTGCGCCATATGGGTCACCTCTGGGGTGGGGATCAAACTCGCGCTGACGTGGCTGTAACTAGCTTGCAGTGCTGCGCATAAGCCGTTGCACCACCAGGGAGGGGCCAGATAATAAATTCTTAACTAAAGTATGCAATTGTGGGCACTTGTGCCTACTCCCCACTGGTAGGGGAGGGTTAGTGCAAAAGGAACAAGAATGTACAATTGGATTTCTTTCCTCCGATAATCAGTTTTATGGTACAAAGAGCATGGCCTTTGACTTTGGAGAGTTGGATTCAATATATATATATATATTTTAAAGATTTATTTATTTATTCATACAGAACTGGGGTACAGCCAGAGTTGCAGGAGCAGTGAGAGGCTTCACCAGAGACAGAGTGGGGGGCAGAACAGGCAGATCAACGAAGTACACTGCTGAGGGGAGCAGCGGGTGGGTCAGGAGAGGTCTGCCACGCCATGTGGTCACCTCCAGGGCAGGCGGGGATCGAACTCATGAGGAAGTGGCTTTCGATTCTTAGTGCTGCGCTTTAACCTGCTGTGCCACCAGGGAGGGCCTGGATTCAATATTTAAGCAGGCACTTTCAAGATTGTTTAAGGAAATTAAACTCCTTGTGCCTTTCAGCATTATTGCAAAACACAGTGAAGATAATGTCTGTAAAATATCTAAAACTATGTGTTTGTTTTTATAGTCTTTGTTACTTGATGCAAATTCTATGAAAACATCAACGAGAAGAAATATAACTGTACCAGCATCTTTATGGCTGTCCTGGACAGTAGTACATATTTGGATCCCTGGTAATCTGGTTGTAAGTTGAGTCAGTGCTTTAAGAAGGCAAAAGTTTCCCTGTCACGTTACCTTTTGTCTGCGTCATCAGGCTTCCAAAAATAAGACATTGCCATCTTTTAGCAGAAATAGATGTCTGGGACAGTTATAAAACTGTGTCAAAGTTGTAAATATGAGGTGAGTTAACTTGAAATAGAGCTGTGGCAGAAAAGGGTGAGGAAGTGTGACCGTATTCGGAGACGGCTCTCATGTGCAGGCTTCTTCTGGCTTCAAGGGGGAGGCCTGATAGAAAAATAAGCAGTAGACCTAGAACCCCCAGAAACCTGAGTTTCTGCCACACCACCTTTCTGCTTGCTGGCTGTGTGGACAGAAACAAACCTACTTTCTCAAGGACTTAATTACCTTATTTGGGAAGTAGGAATTATGTTTCACTGCCTCACAAGGATTGTTGTGAAAACAAGAGACAGTAAATCAGAAAGTCTTTTGCAAATCAAGTTGCAGGCAAATATTGTTCCCTGGCAGGGATCATTATGTCCCAGTGCAGGGATGGCTCAAGCTGGAGTCATCAGTATGTCCCAGTGCAGGGATGGCTCAAGCTTCTACGTATCTCTCTTCTCCCATCACCCACCTCCTCATCCACCAGCAAGTCCATTCACCTCTACTCCCTAAACATCTGTCCATTTCTTTCGGCATCCACTGGTACCACCCCCGCACCACCAGTAACTTATCACAGCTGCCACAAGCACCCCTAAATCCAAATTCCCCTTCACACCTTGATCATTCTAAAATTCATCCTCCAGCAGCACGCACACTGGCATTTAAAAAACACAAATCAAGAGACAATCGATCAATACATGCCTCTTTCTGAAACCATTCAACATCTTCTGTGAAATAGTGTTGACAAGTAAGTTAAATGTAAACATATCCTGGCTCCTTTTCCATTTCCCTTATCCCTCACTGACTGGGCTCCAGCTTCCAAGCCTAACCCAAGGCCTCCAACATTTTTCTTTCTTTCATTAATCACATCAGGATTTGTTTTTTACTTTATTTTTTTTTACATCTAGTTTTTTTTTTTTTTTTTTGCAAAATACTATACACTGTTTGCACTGTCACAACAACTATTGTTGTTTTTAATCTTTGCTGATACCACATTGTCTAGATTAGTGAATGTTAAAACTCTGATGATGTTAAGTACTTGATCTATATATAGTCTTTTTCAAAAGCGGTTTTCACTATTTTGGATCATTTGTATTTCCAATTAACTCAACTTACTGATTTCTATGAAAATAATCTTATTGCCACATAGTCACTTTCAACTCCATGGACTGATTTAATTCTCTGCGAAGCATTTTATTTTTTATTGTTCGTCATCTATCTCTTCCCACTAAAATGTAAGCTGCATGAATGGAAAAGAATTGTCTATTGTTTCTTTTTTCTCCACTATTGTGCCACCTTCCTGAATAATCCCTTTCATATAATAGGATTTCAGTAAATATTTGTTGAGTAAATGAATCCATCAGTCTAAATAGTAATTTTTCTCTCATGACATTTTCTCCTCTTTCTTGTTTGTGAAATCTCTTCTTTGCCATTGCAGCACTGAGGGGATGAGCTTCAAGACTACCACCATCGATTCTGTAGCTAGAAAATCTGAGAACAACCCAAAGGTAATGGAGGGAATATTTATCTAAAATTTAGAAGATAAAAATATCTAGAAGTTGGATTTGGGGAAATTCACTTAACTCCACCAGCTCTCTTATATTTTCTGATCTGTATTTTGGGGACAATAATTCTATTGGCTCTGTGTGTGTGTGTGTTATTATAAGTATTCTGTCAGAATGAAAACTATTTGGTACATTGCCTATTGTATAACAAGTGATAAATAAATATTAGTACAGTTACATAAATCACTAAAACTTTAGCAGTTTTTCTGGGATTGATGCAAGACAGATTGAAAATTTAGGAAAAAATAAATAGTGGAAAGTTTCTTAGAGGTAAGATTAAGGAACTAGCATTGACTTTGACCTTGGCTTCTTTGAGTATAACTTCATACCACTTCCTGGTCTGGAGTGATATTGTGCAGCAGCCCTGCCTTTGTTACAACCAATGCTCCTGGCTTATTGCTAAATACAAGCATGCTCTCCTCTCTTGCTTTTCCAGCTTTCACTTGCACCCTGGGACTTAGAGGACACATGTGGAGAAGAGATCTATAGAGACACTTGGAAGAGAAACATGGATGAGCGATTCATGGGGAGGCTGTGGCTCTTGGCAGAGACAATGGCAGGCATTATCTTGATGTGGTCTACTTTAAATGTTCAGTCTCTCCTTATGTTTCAGGTCTCTGGGACCTATCAAAATCTTTTTTGTGATTTTTCCAGCAGAAGGTACCTCAGACAACCTACTTCAACCCAAGTTGCTTTAGGTTGTTGTTGAAAGATTCTAAGATATGGCCCTCCCTGGGGGCACTAGAGTTAGGGTGCCGTTCTGCAAACTAGCCACAAACTAGCTGCAGCCACTTCAGTGAGAGTTTGATCCCCCTCCCCATGGTGGGGGGTGGGGAGGAGGGCGAGGGTAGGGGAAGGGTGGGGGGAGGGGTGGTGATCCACCTGGCTTGGCAGATCTCTCCTGTCTCCCCAGCTGCTCTGCTCAGCAGTATATTTCTGTCCATCTGCTTGTTCTCCCCACTCTGCCTCTGTGAATCCTCTCACCGCCCCTGTACCTCTGCCCTGAACCCTGAAACCCCAGTTCTGTATTCATAAATAAACAAATATTTTTTAAAAAAAGATATCTGGCATAAATTTAATACTCGCCTTTCTAGTTTACAGACAGTTTTCCTGTTACTCTCATTTTTGGTTATATAGAGAGAGGGGAAACCCCGCCCCCACGTGTGCCCATCCTGTGGCCTGTGCTTGCATGCACACACATTATACTAATATTGTGAAAAAATATTGACCCTGGTCATGGTGTTTTATTTTGATTTAATGATATTACCATCTCCTTGATTGGGGATGTGATTTTTGTCATGGTATGTTTCATCTGATTGTTTCCTACCTTTGATCTATGTTTTGTTACTTAATGGCAATATCGTTAAATCAAAATAAAACACCAAGACCAGGACCAATAAGCAGACTACTAGCCAGGAAAATGTTGCAGAGCAATGGTTTTTAAATTGTTTGCTTAGAATAAATTCTAAGTATATTTCTCAAGGTTATGCATAGTATGTTATAAAGTTGAAATAATACAATTATTACCCTACTTTGATTTTAAAAGTCCTTTGGAACTTTCCTAAATACTGGATCGTCTTTTATAATAGTTTCTCATGGGAAAATAACCCACTATTTTCTGTATCTGCACTGAATCAAAGTAGCAGCCACTAGGCATGTGTGGAACTCTTGAGAATTTCAAATGTGATTAGTGCAACTGAGGAACTAAATTTTGAATTAAGTTTAAGATGTATCTGTGATAAGTGTATTGGTCAACAGAGGTCAAGGATATTCACCACAGCTCTTTTCTCTTGGCTCCTACAATGGCAATGTGGTTCGATGAGGATAACAGGAAGCATTTGACTCCTCCTCCTCAAAACTCTTATTTTTATTTGTAAAGATGAAATCTAAAAAAGTCTTAAGAATCCCTCACCTCCCATGCATTGTCTTATGGGATAACCTGGAAGCCAGCAAAAATGCCAGTGAATCATATGGATCTTTCTCCAGTGGGTTTTCATCTAAATTTTTTAATTGAGAAAATTTGGGTATAGCAGGTGTTACTGAAATTTTAAGCAGTAAGTATTCTGCTTCTGTGCAAATGTACTTAACAGGGAGGGAATTCGAAGAGAAGTAGATCTCAATGGAACTTCCTGTCAGCAGATGCTCCGCAAATCCTTTCCAGCATGAGAGTTACCAATATCAACGTTTTAATTTGGTTTAACTGCTTCTCGGGGATTTGTATTAATAACATTTTATGAGCTGTCAAATGAAGGAATGCTGTCATAAATAAAATTTTATTTGGGGTAAATGGTTTCTTAATTTAGTCTGTTTACTTCTAAAGAAAAGATGGTATAGAATCTACCTACCTGTAGAATCTACCTCCAGGCTCCAAGATGCCATAAACCTCAGAGGTTGCCTTAGAAACTTGACTAAAATGTCTTGATTTTTTCTGGAACATCTGTGAAGATGGTGTCAGGAGTGTTCAGTCTCTCCCAGGTATAATTCAGGAAGCAATGCCTCCAGCTGTGTGTCACAGTTGGGTTTTCCAAGGCACTGACTCTAGACTGGCACGCCTACTAAGTACTCGTTTCTCTACTTACCACCATCCACTGCTTCATTGCCTTCGTGGGGGTCAGAGGCCTCCATGGGTAATTTTCTCTTTTCTGCCCATCCTCTGTCTACTAGGACACACTGTTTGTATTAGGATGTGACTATGCAACATTTCACCCCACATTTGGCATGTAAGATGTGGAAACCATAAAGAATGAGAGGCTACTAAACTTGCTATATTAGACTTATTGCTAGCAACATTAGCAAATGAGGTTGGGGTGAATGGGAATCATCTATTATTATTATTATTATTATTATTATTATTATTATTATTATTATTATTATTATTACTATTCAAGGGCCTACTCAAAGACACTGTAGGAGACACAAAATTTAAGGCTTAACTTCCTTTTGAGTAACAGATATTAAAAGTTCATTTAAATATATGTTAATACAGGCAGAATGTGATGTTCTGAAAACTAACATCACTGTCTTACCACATGGCATGACCAACATGCCTAAAGCACTCCACAGATAATAAAATTTAACTCCTTTTTTCTTAACCCCAGTTCTGAAAAACACATATAACCTCATCTGATACTTTTAAAGAATTTTATTATTTTTTTCATAAGAAGAACAGAGATAGAGGCCAGCAGTGTGGGGAGTGAGAGGCTTCACCAGAGCCAGAGTGGGGAGCAGAACAGGCAGATCGAGTGAAATACACTGCTGAGGGGAACAGCGGGGTTAGACAAGCAGAGGTCTGCTGCACTATGCGGGTCACCTCCCTGTCCAGGGCTGGAGCTCAGGCCGTGGCGCTAACAGCACTAAGACTTAAGCCCTAAGCACCAAAGAGGACCACCCCTCCATCCATTTTTTTAACTAGTAGATTTGAGATTTTCTCTTACTTCCTTGCCAATCAATTTGCAATAAAGCTTTCTCTTCTCAAAACCTGATGCCATGGAATGAGTCAGCGCATTGGGTAGTAAGTCCTATGCTCAGTAACACAAACACAATTTGCATTAATATGTTCTAAAATACTTAGTTAAAATAAGTATCTTCATCTGAAACTTTTATTCAGAATATCTGGTGGGTGGGCCCTGGGCCTATGTAATTTAACAAGTGCAGTGAATATCTCTTACACCTACTGAACTTTGAGCACCTCTAATAAATCAGCTCATGAAAGTAGCACCACAGGGAAGTGTTATACTGTCCCTTTTGATGAAAAGAGTGGGAGTTAACACAGGATGTTCTGCTATGTGCCTGAGTCAGGGTCTGATGAATTTATAGGAGAAAAGGAAGAAGAATTTAGGGAAAGAAACATGTGGCATGTAAACCCTCCACATTCAAGAGATCGCTCAGACTTTGGGGGCAGAGCTTGCAAGGGCAGACTCTGAAAGCACACAGGGAAGAAGGGAGCTTTGCAGCACTGAAAGACCAAACTGACGCCATGACAGGCTTCAGAATGCTTCTGAACCAGCCAGGCCTAAGTTTCGGTTATCAACAAGGCGCCAAGGCCGAGTTTAACTGTAAATGTCCTAATCTTGTTCATCCCGTAGCAACAGCCAATGAGCAAGTAGGCAAGTAACCAGTACATATCAGGAAAACACCAGATGTCCTAAGGTATGCGGCCGAGTAGTGAAGGTCACATCTTACATGCATAGATCAACCGGGTTAAGACAAGATAACTTTGTTCAATGTCTACCAATCAATGTACTGCTGAGCAAAAACTCCCCTCTGCTGGGCTGAAACTCCCCTCTTCTGTAATAAAAACCCTGCCTTCCCTGAGCTCAGGGCTCTCAACTTCAGCTGCATGTTGGGAGCCCAGGCTCGAGCTTGCAATAAAGACCCTCATGTGCTTTGTATTGGAATCGGCTCCTTGGTGGTCTTTGGGAAACTCAAAACCTGGCACAACAGCACAAGTGACCTGATCCACATCCTCGGGACATACTGTTGCTGAGGCTTCTACCCCCTTTTTATCTCTCAGGGTCTTTTATTTCTCTCTATCTCTCTGAGGTAACAATGATTTACCACACAGTATATAATTTGGGGGGCAGGGATACACCTCTTCTTTATGGTTGTTCTAGCTTCTCTGAGAGGAAATATAATATGATAAATTCTTTCACATAAGATACTAAGAATTTAATGAACTAACCTCTCAAGGTCATTAATTTTCAAGGACGTTGACTTGAATCCCTACGAAAGCATTGTAGTCTTTAGAACATGCAATTGAAAAGGAAATCTGTGGTCTTGAAGGAGGTCTTCCTTCCCAGGTTGCTATTCAAGTCATAACCGTGTACACGGAAGTTCAGAGAGAGTGAAACTAGACAGAAACTGATCTCTATACATCACTTGAAACTTCATGGAAATATTCCAAGTCTAGTATTGGTTTTTAAATTTGAAGTCTTTTTAAATTCTTAGTTTTCAGTCTTTGCCAATGCCTGCCTGCACCACCCCCTCAACCTACAAATGTTGAAATCATCATTTTCTTTCCACACCATTTACTGTCATGTTCCTCCCATCTTGTCCCAAGCTTCTCTTCTGTAGACTGGTGTCTGAAACCTGAATGTCAAAAGACCTAAAATTGAGTGTGTGTTAACATTTACTAGCTGAGTGACATTGCGGTTCTCCCTTAACTTCTTTCACTCTTATTTCCTCATATGCAAAATAGGTATATTGCTAACACTGGTAAGATAATGCAGTGGAGATGAGGGCATCCCTTTGTAACCTATAAAACCCTCTGTATATTGTAGAGAAGAAGACTGCTCTGAATTGTACCATCTACACTGTGGTGACATTTCACACAGAGACTGGACTGGGGTGGACAAGTGCCTCAGAAGCATGATGGTAGAGTGACACAAAAGGGCCCTTCAAGGTGGTGATAAGGACCAACTAGTCACTCTCCTGGGCACCTTGAGTCCCTTCAAAGAGGTCAGTACTTAAAAGTGACAGAAAACAGACAAGCAGAGAAAGGGGGAACAGGTCATGATGTAAGAGTTTGTGCAGGCCAAATCTATTAAGGAGAAAGGTGACAAAGGAAACATGGAAAGAGTGTCAGAGGCACCAGTACAGAGAAACACTAAAGCAGAAACTAACCGATGCCTGAGCTGAGAGAGAATGACAAGGCCAGATTGTTCAAGCTACACTAAGCCCTAAATGACCCGGTTCCTCAACAACAGTCTCGGTGAGATCCATCATTCTGATGCTTCCTTTCTTTCGTGAAGCCCATGAAGAACAATTTCTATTTTCCTGAACTGCCTGTGATTACTTAACTCGTCACCGTGGAAATCACAATGGGCCTCTCCCACCAA